ACTACTCAGCCATAAGAAGTGGAAAAATCCAACCATTTGCAGCAACATGGATGGAGCTGGAGAGTATTATGCTCAGTGAAATAAGCCAAGCGGAGAAAGAGAAATACCAAATGATTTCACTCATCTGAGGAGTATAGGAACAAAGGAAAAACTGAAGGAACAAAACAGCAGCAGAATTACAGAACCCAAAAATGGACTAACAGGTACCAAAGGGAAAGGAACTGGGGAGGATGGGTGGGCAGGGAGGGATAAGGGGGGGGAAGAAGAAGGGGGGTATTAAGATTAGCATGCATGGGGGGGAGGGAGAAAGGGGAGGGTGGGCTGCACAACACAGAGAGGACAAGTAGTGACTCTACAACATTTTGCTAAGCTGATGGACAGTAACCGTAATGTGGTTGTTAGGGGGGACCTGATATAGGGGAGAGCATAGTAAACATAGTATTCTTCAGGTAAGTGTAGATTAAAAATTTAAAAAAAAAAAAGAAAGAAAGAAAGAAAAGGGGGATTACTCCTTAACAGGATAAAACTATTGGTAAATCAAAGATCAACGCATGCTTTAAATATCCTTAATGTTGATCACTTAAAGGGTGTCAGATGATCAGCTATGGAGGTACTCTTTTCTGATAATATTCCTTTCTCTTAATTAAAAAAAAAAAAAAAAAGCAGTTACTGTGTGCTGACCTCCAATGAGTTCTGCACAGTGGTATAGAGGGCATGTCAAAGTGTGGGCAAAGGGTCTGTTTGTTTCTACGCAGAAGATCAAGGCCTAGCTTGGATACCCAGAAAATGAACTAAGATACGATATGAGGAGGAGCTTCCGGCATCAGCACTCTCTGGAGGACTCGTGCCGGGGGATGATCATCAAAAAGCCTCCACAGGGATCCGGACGATGCTGCGGTTGTGGCTGCATCCAGCCCACCGTCTCCTGGACTTGCCATAAGAAGGAGGAGGGAGATGTCTAGGCTGGCATGTGCATACAGTGAGACAACGAATTTGACTGGATCTGTACTGTTGGAACTCAACCAGGAGTTGGGAGGGGTGCAAGTTGTAGCACCCCAAAATCTCATGACTATAGACTATCTATGGTTAAAAGAACATATGGGATGTGAACAGATCCCAGAAATGGGCTGCTTTAATTTGTCTGATGGTTCAAGTACAGTTGGAAAATATCCATCATATCATAGATAAATTTTCACAAATGCCTAGGGTGCCTAAATGGTTTTCTTGGCTTCACTGGAGATGGCTGGTAATTATAGATTTGCTTTGTTTATGTCACCGTATTCCTATTATGTTAATATGTGTGTGCAAATTAGTTAGTAGTTTAAAACCTATACATACTTAAGGTACTATACAAGAAGATATGTCAAAGAAATAATCAATCCTCCCAAGTTTCCTTCATATGCTACATCTATAGCTTTTCTTCTTCCTTCCTAATTACAACCCTTAAATAGAATTCGTGCCTCATATCGAATTTACCGAGTATCATAATTCCTCCAGGTGGTAAAGATACCTCGAGACAAGTGCTGGGCATAGAAGCCACAGGGCATAAATCTGCAAAGAAGTAAAAAGCTAACCTTTGCAAACAATATGGCTTCTCTCTCACTTACCAACTTTACATTTCCCTGTATGGCCCCGGAAGATGACTGGTTAGCCAGAGACGGGTAAGATTCCTCAAGGGAGGAACAACCTAAGACAGGCACAGTCGCAGGGGGGCCATCAGGTGAGAATTTGGGGATCAACAGAGGTGAGGCTCAGAACCTCACCCCCCCTGCTTTGAGAGAAATCTTCTGCATCCGTGGATGTCTTGCTGCCCTTGTCTAGCCTGGATTAATACTTAGTCCATAGGCACACACCTGATCATCTGATCATCTACATTTGCCTTCTTACAGCACTAAACTATGTTTTCTACCTTTATCTTGCATCTACCTACCACTTCAGCATTTTATTAAAAATAAAAATAATAATAATAATAGGAGAAATGTGGGATCAACATATAAATCAAGTACAAAAATCAAACGAATATTCATATTTGACCTGATGGTTTATAGGTCATATTGCATGATCAAAACCGAAAGTTTCTGTGATGACTGCCCTTGTACTGTTCACCATGTAAGAATTTATTCACTATGTAAGAATTCGTTCACCATGTAAGAACTTGTTCGTTATGCTTCAGAAGATTGGAGACTGACGAGAATTAGGCTTGAGATGGATTAATGACTGTACATTGAGCGTTGACCCCCCTATACTGAATTTTATTGTTCTTAACAACCATTTGATCAATAAATATGAGAGATGCCCTCTCAAAAAAAAAAAATTATACCTGGATTAAAAAAAGGTGAATTGCCAAAAAAAAAAAAAAATGTTCCTAAATTCTTGGAAAATCCTTCCCTCAAAGGGTGAAGGCTAAATCCTCTCCCTCTCAGTGTGGGCTGGACTTAGTGATTCATTTCTAACAACAGAATGTGGCACAACTGTCAGTGTCTGACTTCCTGGGTTTGGTCAGTTTCTGCCTGGCTCTCTCTTGCATCACCCGGTCTGGGGGAAGTCAGCTGCCATGAGGACACTCAAGCAGCCTATAAGGACCCACGTGGTAAGAAACTGAGGCCTCCTGCCAGGGGCCAACAAGGAGCTGAGTCTCCCTGCCAAGTGTGAGGGCTTCATCTTGAAAGTGGATCCTGCAGTTTCCATCAAGCCTTCAGATGAGACTGCAGCTCCTCCCAGCATCTTGACGGAAACCTCAAGAGAAATTCTGTGCCAGAGCCACCAAGCTAAGGTATTCCCAAATTCCTCACCCACAGAGAAGATAAATGTTTTTTGTTTTAAGCTGCTGAATTAGGGGGAATGTGTTATACAGCAGTAGTTAAGTAGTAAGCACAGCAAGAACCTGACTGCAAACAAGAAGCCAGGATGAGGAGAGGAGGGAGGAGAAATAAGGGTTTGAAAGATTCCTGAATGATCCCCTTGTCCTGCTACTGTCTACATAGTAGCTACGATATGGCGCCCTGGCCTTGTAGAAAAATGCACACTCAAAAGTTGCCAGCCATCCTTGCTTTCTGCTAGAATTTTCAGATGGCCCCAGTGTACCTTGAAGATACTGACTTGGGTTAAGAAAATCTTGACTAGCCCCTTTCTACTTGGCAATCCCTGTTTAGAAAAGAATGGCCAGTCTCAATGGCAGGAAAGATTGCCACAGGGACAGATATATAGAGGATATCTGCTTAAAAAGCTAATAGGCAACCCACAATATCTGACAAAGTCCCAAAAAAAAAGTTTCCAAAGTTGGCATGTATTCTGAAGAGCACACATCAATGCAAGCACACCAGAGCATTGTCAAGTCTAACCACAAGCTGACAGTACATATTTCCAGAGACCATTTCCCAATGTGCAAGTTCACAGGGGAGAGCTGGGATGTCTGCAAAACACCCAAAGTAAGTCACAAGCCATAGGGTAGAGGGAGTAACCCATGGAAACATCGGCGGCCACAGTGGCAAAGTTGTTGCCGCTGTGTACATGTATGTGCTCCAGGGGGCATGGACCACTCTGGCAGACCAGCGATCACCTCCCTTCCCCATCTGAATGGTTGTCTGGTTGACCTGAGAAACACTCTCCTCAGGCACAATCATCCAGATGAAATCACTTGCCTCTGCTACTAATAAAACATAAAGTTCTTCCATTCACTCAGCTACAAAACACTGTTGTAAACTACACAGTTGAGAGGACATTCATGGTTTGTATTCAGCTTGGCACCCCAGATCTCTTTCCCATAATATAGAACCAGCTGGAAAAATACTAGTGGGCTTTACACTGAGTAATAAGCAAAGGTAAGCATTCCCTTGAGTGATTGCCCTGCAGGCTTAGGGCAGAGGAATAGATGTCTCAGCTTCCTGTAACCCAGCTTGTCACCCACATTACCCACATCTGAAGCACATGCAAAGTTAAGGCCACATACATAGTTTAGCCCATCACCCTGCCACTTGCTCCCAGCATCTCCCCTAGAGCTTGGTTTTTTCTTGCCTACCTTGGTTTCCATGGGAACCCGTGACTGGGGGACGCTGAAGGAGTTTGTCCTGAGAAGATACTGTGATGTGAGCAGCAAGAAGCAGGGCACCAGCCCGGGATACAGGGCTGGGCTGACCCACATTGTGCTGGGGAGTGAGGCCTGGGCAGGCCTTTGGAGCCTTTGGGCACCCATGGCAGTTGCTGCCTCTGCTCTGGACACACCTCGCAGGTGCAGCGGGGCAGTGCTCAGACCTACCTCAGGGGGCACATGGAAAGGTTCCACCTCCACCTCGGTTGAGTTGGTTTTGTCTGAAGCCTGCTGGGGTTTTCCATCGTCAGTTCTGTCAACATTGTCCTTGCTCAGGCCTTTGGAAGACTTGGGGCCTTTGTCCTTTGCAGACATCTTGAGCTCCTTGAGTGCCTTGGAAAAACAAAACACTGTTGTAAACTACACAGTTGAGAGGACATTCATGGTTTGTATTCAGCTTGGCACCCCAGATCTCTTTCCCATAATATAGAACCAGCTGGAAAAATACTAGTGGGCTTTACACTGAGTAATAAGCAAAGGTAAGCATTCCCTTGAGTGATTGCCCTGCAGGCTTAGGGCAGAGGAATAGATGTCTCAGCTTCCTGTAACCCAGCTTGTCACCCACATTACCCACATCTGAAGCACATGCAAAGTTAAGGCCACATACATAGTTTAGCCCATCACCCTGCCACTTGCTCCCAGCATCTCCCCTAGAGCTTGGTTTTTTCTTGCCTACCTTGGTTTCCATGGGAACCCGTGACTGGGGGACGCTGAAGGAGTTTGTCCTGAGAAGATACTGTGATGTGAGCAGCAAGAAGCAGGGCACCAGCCCGGGATACAGGGCTGGGCTGACCCACATTGTGCTGGGGAGTGAGGCCTGGGCAGGCCTTCGGAGCCTTTGGGCACCCATGGCAGTTGCTGCCTCTGCTCTGGACACACCTCGCAGGTGCAGCGGGGCAGTGCTCAGACCTACCTCAGGGGGCACATGGAAAGGTTCCACCTCCACCTCGGTTGAGTTGGTTTTGTCTGAAGCCTGCTGGGGTTTTCCATCGTCAGTTCTGTCAACATTGTCCTTGCTCAGGCCTTTGGAAGACTTGGGGCCTTTGTCCTTTGCAGACATCTTGAGCTCCTTGAGTGCCTTGGAAAATTTAGACTCCTGTGCCCCTCCCGAGAGGATTTCCACAGCAATTTCTACTAAGATTCTGCCCCGGAATGACACGCCTTCCCCAAAGCCCTCGTTCAGCTCCTGGTAGTCATCCATCAGACTGTGGTTCCTGGGTGAGCCATACAGGTTAATCCAGGCAGGCCCGAAGGTAGGTAGAAAGCCTTCGAAAGAGCCCAAGCTTCAGTTGCCTATTTGTGTTTTCAAGTTGATCATTTTTTGCTTTATGAAAGTTGTACACATTCATTTAGAAATTTAAAATATATAGAAAAGACAAGAGAAAATATTTACAGAATATCCCATCACCAAAGAAAGCCTCAAGTGCCATTTTGGTATATTTCTTTCTAATCTTCTTTCCATGCTTATGTGTAAGTTTGTCCACAACTGTAGTAATACTATGAACGCCCACATGCATCCTTATGTTCTTTTATCCATCAAATGTTTAATGACTCCTAACATGTTTCAGGCACCATGACAGACACTAAACATGCTGCCCAGTGGAGAACAAAGCACATACAAACAATAAACAAATAAAAATTGACGTTATAAATGCTATGAAGGTACCTTTTGCCACAAGGACAAATAACAGGCTGATATGGAATAGAGAGGAATTAGAGGGAGCAGAGAGGAATCTGGGCAGAGGGGACAGCAATGTCAATTGGAAGGGACATGCAGACAGAAGGGTCTATAAGAGAAAACAATCGTGGCTGGAGTCCAGGGGGTGAGCAGTGTGAGAGGAATCTGGAGAGGTGAATCGGTCTTGGGGGCCTTAATAAGAATTTTGGTTTTTATCCTAGAAATTGTGGGACTATTTTAGTGGAATTTAAGATATGACACAATCTGATGTGTGTTTTAATATCACTCTGGCTGCTCTATGAAGTGTTGCACAAATAGATGGTTAAAACTGAAGACATTGGTGGCTTAGAATAGGGTGATGGTAGTGGAGACTGAGAGAAGTAAATGTTCTGAGATACATCTTAGACGTAGAACCGAAAAGACCTAGTGATTTTAACTTATTATCAGCATTAAGTTTTCCTTTCTTAATACACAGCTTCTGGGAATTACACAGTGTCTATGTGAGCATCTCTTTGGCAGCAGACTGTTCCATTTTGACAGGCAAGCACAGCATGGTGGTCTCAGAGTCAAGCCTCAGACTTGACTGCCTAGGTTCAAATCTCAACTCTCAGCTCTGCCATTTTCAGGCTGTGTGACGTTGGGCAGGTTTTTTAACATCACTATGCCTCAGTTTACTCATCTAAAATGGAGATGCTAATAGTACCTATCTCATGGATCAGGACTAAAAAGAGATAGTATCTATTAAGTGCTTCACACAGGCCCTTAGGAAGTGCTAGAGGACAGCAGTCATTACTCTTAATAAGTATATGTATCATTATTTGCTTAACAATTCTCCCATTGTTGACAAGAGGATGTTTCCATATGTTTTACTGTTATCAATAGTTTTATGCCTAAATGCGTCTGCTCCCTAACCCCTATGGACTAGATGTTATCCCTCCTTTGAATAAATTTTAAGAAGCAGAGATATTAAGTTAAAAGAGATAGAAAGACTTTATGGCCCCTGATGTCTACTTTTAAAACCACTGTTACACATCTCCCTGTACATGATAAAGATATTCCTGAAAAGTTGTGGGTAAAACATGCTTACATCTAGTTGAGAAATGTTGTAGATGGTGGAATGTGCTTTCTACTTAAAGCAATCCTGTGACAAACCTTCCCATAATATGAAGAGTTAAACAATAGGTATTTTATGGCATCACTCTGTGACTGGCATAAAAATGTATAAATCCTGTCCACTGCTTAAATAAAGCCTTCAGTATATATGTGCAGAGTACTCACATATGCACATACACACAAATAAATGCACCAGTTAACATAAATTTGCAGTGCAGAGAGAGATTACCTTGGGATTTAAAGGAGGGAGGGTTAGTTGGGATATTTAGAGAATTATCACCTACTAATTAATGTTTTGCAAATAAAGAACCTCTTACTGGCTGTAGTTCTTAGGCTAGGTGGATTGGCTGGGACTCTCCAGTCCCACCCTGGCTGGCTGTGTACACAGCCAGCACCACAGCCCTGCAATGTTCATGCTCTCATGCTCCCATCCGTGATTTGGGGACACAATATTTTTTGTACCATTTAAGTATTTAATAACCATTCTTAGCTTTAAACTGTACACATATATTTGGCAGGCTGGATGTGGCCCATGGACTGCAGTGTGCCAACTTCTGATCTAATCTAGTCTTATTTTTCATTTTAGAAACCTACGGCCCAGAGAGAGGAAGCGATGACCTTGGGGACACACACAGCAGTGTTGGTGGGAGAGCCAGGACTGGGAGAAGCCTCCTGGGTCCCAGTGCCCACCTCTATCTGTTGCCCTGAACCGAAACCACAGACCCACAGAGCCTGGAAGGCGCCTGACACGCTGCCTGCTCCAACCCTCTCATGTTAAAGGTGAGGGCTCTAAAGCCATCATTTCAATACCCTATTTCCAGTCAAAGGCTTTACCTTTATCTCCATCTTGCTCGTTGGAGATTCTCTTCAGGTCAATGAAATGAGTTGCCAGTGCTACATCATTCATGCTGCCCTCGTCCCACACCTGGATTTTCACCCTCCGACACAAGGGAGGGAACATTTCCTTGAAGACCACCTGCTCGTGCCACACCGGATCGGCACAGTTCTTCTGCACCGTGGTTCGCCCCTAAGAACAAAGCCAGGAGGATGTGAGCCACAGAAGGAAGCACAAGAGGCCAGTGACTGATGAAAGAAAAACTCTTTAAACTCTGGAAACTAAAGTGAATTGCCAAAAATAATGAACCTGCTTCCACCCAACACCCATGAAAATCCTTCACACCCAGAGAACGTTACTGATGGTTACTCTGCTCCAACAGTGTGCCAGGCATCGGGAACAAAGGTGACTAAGTCATGGGGCCTGCCCCCAGGAAGTTCCCAATATCACACTAGGGCTGAGAGGAAGCTAACACACGTGTTATGGACAAAAAGCGTCCCATGCACCTCCAGGGGTGTGCAGCACGTGTAGTTAGGCCCTGAGCTCCTGTTTTATAGAAGTAGGACCTTGGACAAATCATTTCCCTAGTCTGGACCTCAGTTTCTTCTAGTCACAAAATGGAGGTGAGGTCCTTATATAACTAAAAGGGGGTCCAATGCAAAAATACTCCAGCGTTCACCCTGCCAAGGGGAGGAGTCAGTGTAGGCAAATATTTTAAGGGCAGAGACAACATGTGTCAGCTGAAGCTTCAAAGTCTAGCCATGTGCCCAGACCTGACCATGTGCCCAGGCCCTGGTACTTCCAATGGGTCCTGAGCAGGGAAAAGCAGGGAACAGAAATGTCCAGGCCTACATGGGACAATGACTACCGCGGAGCATATTGGGAAGGTGGTGGTAATGCTGGGGGCCTGGGGGCTGGGTAACAGCTCAGAGAGGAAGCCAGAGGTGGGGAAGGAGGCCTGTCTGCCTGGGTCCTCAGCGCTCTTCTCCACAGCCTCCAGCAGACAGGGAGTGGGTGAGCCTTCCCTACGCCCCTGCCATGTGACTCAGTACCTTTTGTGACAAGCTTTCTCTCTCAAGGCACTTTCTGGTTTTTATTTTAAATTAATTTCCCTTGATTAGCAATGTCCTGGGTAAAAAGTAGAGTTCTGGCCCAGGCTGCTGTTGTAGGTGACAGCAGTTCTCACCGTCTGCCCTGCAAAGGAGACCTCAACGAAGGGGTCCACGAGGTCCTTACTGTCACCCACAAATGCTTTGGTGACATTCGCCATGATGCTGGAGTTCATTTTGGGCAATCCCTCTGCTTTGTAGAGTCTCACATAGAATCTGGCCCAGGGTCTTTCTGATGGAAACCCTCGAGGGATCAAAAGGTTCCTTAAGGGGGAAACAGAAACAAAAAATTAAAAAGCTCTCCCACTGGAAAAAAAAAACAGAAAAAAAGTAGAAGCAATTTGGAGACAGAAAGAAGGATCCTGATAGAGAAGAAAAATCTGAAAAGACTAGGATTTACTGCTAAAATGAGTTTTCTTCCTGGTATAAATGACAGTGAAGGGTATGAATAAAGTGAATATAAACCCATTCAGGTCCTGCAATTATAGGATAAACACCATCTCTCACTGCACCTTAAAAGAGGTGCATTAAGCCTTCCCATTTCACAAACCAGTGGCTGAAATTATAATTCTCTCAAAGAGAAATCAGCCAAGTTCAGATAAATAGGATAAGCTCAGGAAGAGCTTATCTCTTACAGGTTGTTATAGGAAGACAGGCTGCTCTTGTCCTAGAAGCTGACCTCCCAAAGGATAGCACTTGATTCGCACTAATCAGTCTAACACTTGGTTTGACACCTCCTGGTGCCTTTGATTAGCAGAATCCCAAGGACAAGTCATAAACTTAGCAGTTCTCATGTAGCCATAAAGAAAGGAGGGAGGAGGGAAAAGGGACATGGAAATCAGGACATATTATTTATCTTGCATGGCCCCAGATGGACCTGTCTCACTTTTCTATTTGCTCCTCGGCATCATAAGTTTTGGGGTTGGTCTTTAAAATGTCACCCTTCCCAGTCACGTTGATGTCACACTTCAGGAAACCCTTCGTGCCAGTCCTGATGTTGCCAGGGTCTGTGAGGAGGGCCCACTTGTCACAGAACTGATGACCTGTAAAAACATCCTGACAGCTCAGTAATCCTGCACAGCAGACCCAGCGGGTCCACCCAGTTCTCCCGCACACCCATGGCCCCCAAGCTCCATTCCCTAGGAGTGGATAGCTAATCACAGTATTCCCAAGTCCCTCACTGCCTCCCTCTCCCCCTTCCCTCCTTTCCTTTTGTCTCCCACCTCTTCTCCATCTTTCTCTCCAATGTGCCACAGTTATTTGGGAAGCTTTCAACCTAGTGGAAGTCACCTGGACAGGATTCTAGCTTGGACAGTATAAGAGGACTTTAATGGAGTCAAGGAGTCACGTGTTAATTTCACAGGCCGTAAATGTAGCTCATGGATCTTTTCATTTGCATCTATGCTGTGAATCCAAACTTCAAAATCTCTTATAAGATGTAGATTTCTGGCCTATTTAAAAACAGCTGTTGGATCTGGTGATGCAGAATGCACATTTGCACATGACAACAGGTAGCAAATAGCTGAGAGCTCCTCTCACGGCTTGTGAGACCTCCTGTCCCACACCCTGCATCACTATTCAGTGTATTAAAGCCAGCCCCCTGCCTCAGTTATGCCCACTGCTGCCCCCTGGGATCATGCGAGTTGGAATCTCATTTGTTGCTGGCCCTCTTACTTTTTAGCTCTTGACCTTGGACAAATGAACTATCTTTTCTGAGTTTCACTTACCTAAAAATCCAGACTAATAATTATTATAGCAAACCCTTACATGGCATGCCACATTCATTATTCTGTGCTGTGTTCCATACCAAGCACTTTCTGTATATTTATTAACTTAATCTTCCTATGAAAGAGGTGTTATTTTATCCCAATTTTTACAGATAAGGAAACTGAGCTGCAGAGAAGTCATTTGCCCAAGGTTGCATAGCCAGGAGGGGGCGGAGTGGAGTTTGAAGCCAGGCAATCTGGCTCCAGAGTCTGGACGATTAACTTCTATATTCTCCCATCTTTCCTGCTTGTGGCTCAAGGCACTAAATTAGACAGAATTCGTGAAAAAAAAGTTTTTCACTCATAAGTATGAGCCATTAATTTTTTTCAATGACATGTAAGTGAATTTTAACATTAGATTTAAACATTTAGGAAAAGAGCCAGGTCTTGTTCAACTTTGTATAATTGCTGCTCGCTGTTTTTGAAAGAAAGGGTAAGTGGATGAGCAAATGAATGAACTGATCTCTGGGTGTGATAAACAAGAAGAGTAAGAGACAGAGAGAGAGTGGGAAGCGGTGCCTTCTCACCAGGTTGGTTGTACACAGTCCCCAGGTCCACCTTGAAGGAGCCGATCAGTATGCTTCCTATCAGCTTGTGGTGGAAAACCTGGGAGACATGGAGCAGTGAGTCCAGCAGCACTAGATTTTTCTTTAAGGATAAATCTGTGAAACGGGCCCATGACACCTTGACCCTCATCCAGCCTTCACTCTTGTTTGGAGCACAGTGACCTTTAGGCATCCAGCCTCAGGACTGTAAAGGGTGCCCAGAAGTCTCTCACCTGCACCTCCTCCTCCTAGCAGGTTTTCAGCTAACCCACTGTTGATGGACATCTCACAAATCTGTGCTTTTAGCCAAAATATACTCCAGTACAGCCTGCTTTTCAACACCCATCTCTGCCTATTGCAACTCTGCTCATCCTTCAATGCCTAGAGCAAATGTTACTGCTCCAAGCAGCCCTTCCTGATTGCCTGCAGCTTTCCCCTCCCTCCCCTCAACTCCCACAACACTTTGCTCCAACTCTCTCAGAGGACTCAGCACATATTGCCTTGAGGAGCTCTGGACATGTACAATAGAACACAGGAGGTGGTCATCCTCAATTTTGTCTGATTGGAAGTCAGCAGAGCGCTGGCTCGTTACAGCAGCGCCTTTCAACACTAATGCTCTCAGGACGAGGAAGTTCTGAGGAAAGTGGCAGAGCCGGTGCCAGGTCCAGAAGCCACACTGGATGAGACGCTGCTGGAGAGCCAGGGTAGGTCAACCTTTAGCTCAGAAATAGAAAGGCGGAGGTGGAGAAGGGCAACGGTCACTTAAGTTCCTCAAACCTTGGAGATACTCTCTTTGAGAAGAGGGGTAGATGTCCTGTGCGGCTCCCAAGTTACAGACGAGAGATTGCAGCTCACTATAAGGACAACTTTTTTAGTGGAACTTCCCAGTAATAGAAGAGGCTTTTCTAGAGAGAGTGACCTCCTGTCACTGGACACAACCAAGCTGTGCCCAAAACCCAGTCATGGAGGTAGCGGAGAGGAAGTCCTGCAGCTAGAAGTTAGATCAGTTCCTTGACTATTTCCATGACAATTTCCTACCTTCTCTATCCACCATATGCAAGGCTTGGTTTATAACAGGTGATTAATAAACATTCAGTGAATTAATGAATGATTGATTGAGTGATGGATGCTTAGAGACTTCTGTGGGTTCTTAACAACTCCATTGGGTAGGGACAATAAGAATAAATTCAACTGACTTCAAGGAAAAAAGGAATGGCAGCCCTTTGATCTCCCTTTCCACCCTGTCTCTCTTGCCCAAACTTTGCAAGGGAGTTTGAGAACTGAGGGGAAATAAGGACAGCTTGGCTTGATAGAGGAATTACTTAAGGCCGCACACACAGGGTTTACACCATGCTTGCTGTTGCTAATGTAGCTTCCCAAAGGCCTGAGCAAGAACACAAGGCTGACTCAAACTCTCTTCTCAGGTCAGATGCATGGGGGTCCCTGCTTGCACAACGGGGTGCAAGAACCCCATACAGATCTTTAACATGGGAGGCCACCTCAACTTACCCACCCAGTGTGGCAACCCTGCTGCGGTCAAACATAGGATCACAGGAACTCCAGGGCATCTCTCAGAGAGGGCCAGGGCCCTGTGTGCCTGCAGCCACTGCCAAGGGAGGATGGTCTTTGGCACCACCAGGGTCTACTACAGCCCGACTGTCCCGATAGCATCTGCTCACAGCACTCCTCGATTCTCCCACACTGAATTTATTCTAGGCATTCTGACCTTTAGTCAATGAAGTAACAGAAAACTTGCATTAAATACTCTCCTCTCAAGGGGACTTTTCCCTTTAAAATCTTTGCTCTCTGTCCCTAAAGGTCATTTAGGGAGCCCAAACTATTCTCTTCTTCCAAGTTAGAAGAACAGAGGTAGGCAATACCAGCTTTGATCCTCAATCTAAACATCCACTTGCCTCCCAGAAAGTCAAGACCCTTGTCTACACTGCAGCTATTAAATGTTACTCTGCTTGTGCATTGAGTCCCCTGTACAAAATTTTATTGTTGTTAACTGTTAACAACCATTTGATCAATAAATATGAGAGATGCCCTCTCAAAAAAAAAAATGTTAATCTGCAATCTAGACAGTGGCCATGGGAGCCTGCTACAAGGTTGGTCTCACAAATAGGTGGTTGCCCAAGGTATACAATGTCACAAAGCCCTGGGCAATGTGCCACATCCTGAAATATCTTCTGCACCACTGGTCATCATGGCCAAAATTCAAACATTAAGAATGTTTGGCTCTTGATGACTTTTCATTCTTTAAGATTCACATTCTTCAAGTGTCCCTGAGAAAGATAATATCATAATTCCATTGCCACCCTAAGCCCTAACTCAGGATTTATATATATATGTACATATGTAACATAATATATAAAATAGAGATGAGGGGTGATAAGGACAGGCAGAAAAGTCTCCAAGACAAGTTTTGCCATCTTTACAATCCTGATTAGAGTTGGTGTCACTGTTAAGGAAAACATAAGCAGCAGTTTTGTACCTTGGGAATTATTTGGAAGAGAGCACTTTATCTTCAGCCCCCCACCCTCCTCTTTAAGGCGTGAACCCTCTCTTCTCTCTCCACTAGAGAAGCATAGAGAAGCAGCAATTTCTCAGACTGGTGAGAGAAGGGGAGTCTGCCTTCCGGTGCTGTGCCTCTACTGAGTGGTGTGAAGCTGGCAACCACCCCGCTGGCCTGCCCTCCTCCCTCGTGTGGGCTGGTGCAGCTTCAGGCTGGGCACTTTTCCTGCCCTCCCTGGTGGGCCACCCAGATACGGCACCTGCCTAGACAGGAAGCTCTCCCTGTCTCTCCTGTTCAGATGCAATCTGTGGAGGTAGGAACACACTGAGCAGGGCTGAGGAAGGGTCTCCGCAGCAGACTGAAGCTCCCTGGGGCAGGCCCTGAGATCTATATACACTCAGAGGCAACTGTGAAGAAGCCAAATGACAGCCATTTCCTTAAAACCACATTCTCTGACCCAGAGCATTACCAATATATAGTTGGTTCCTTCCTGATTCTTTCTCCTACTTCCATATTTATTAGCAATTATGAGGGAAAAAGGATGTGTGGTTAATTATTATCAGTGTGGGTACCACTCCAAGAGAGAAACACTAACATTTCACTTTGTGAAAAGAAAGAAATCAGCTCAAAATGGCAATCCAGTAAGATGTCATTTGAAACATACATTTCACATTCCCACATGAGCAAGCTATACCATCCATTTCACAATGGCCTGAGACTAGTTTATAACTTGATTCCAAGAAGCATGGAATTTCTTAAGAAGGTTTTCTTCCCCAACTTCTCTGCACTGGTTACTTCAAGCTTCATCCTGTTGGTTTCAAACTCACCAACCCACACTCACCCTCCCAAATCTATGCATCCCCCCGCAGGCCAAGCTGGCCGAGAGAGTTCCCAATGGCTGGACTCTCACCCAGCTACCCACACAACCTACTACCCATGATATACTTACTGAGATTTTGATGATCTTGTCAAAAAGATGCACTTGGGGCCCAGTGAAGTCGAAGACAAAGTACTGCAAAACATAAAGTTCATTCTGACCATAAATTCCAGGCTCACAGTTGAGGACCTTATTCCTGGAATAGATGTAGGTCTATATTATTGTAACCAATAGCTGTATGGTCCCTCAATGGCATGCATACACCATCAATCAACTGGCCATTCCGTATTTAAGGTCTTCTGAGTTATTTTCAGTTTTTGGGGGGGGGGTGGGAAGAGTGCCACCAACTACATCTTTGCACAGGATATGTGTGAATTTTCCTCTAAATGGACAAGAGAAATGGTATCGTTGGGTCATAACTTCGTGCACGTAAATTTTTAATAGATCATATGAAATTTCTTTCTAAAGGGGCTAAGCCATTTTCATTCCCACTGGCAGCATATGAAAACAGCCATTCCTCCATACACTTACCAACTCTTAATACTACCAATTTTTTTAATTTTTTTGCTTATATATAATGATGGGTGGAAGTGGTTTCAGTGTGGTTTTAGTTTGGGGTGAACTTGGTTAAAATCTAACTTCCTCAGTATTCTCCAGTTTCAAACATCCCTGTGAAATTCCCAAGATTGACCAGGAAGAAAACGGAATTATGGACAAGGGAGATATTTAATTTTAAGAAAGTGATTGCCTTTCAGAGTTGAAGAAATTATCTGGACCTGTCTCTGTCCTGTACAGATAAGCAAACGGGAGACGAAAGGGTTTCAGACAGGCCCACATCCACATACCCAGTTATTGCTGTGCCTGGGGCCAAAGCTTAGTTCTCCTGAAGTTACCACACAAGGGGTCAAGTACTAGATGTTTCACCATCTGAACTTTATTGGGGTACCTCCCAGATGTGAGGTTGTATGATCCTAAGACTGGTGCTCTGTTGTGAAGTGTCTGTTTTGGGGACTGGTGGGGAGGCAGCAGCAGAGAGTTGTTTCGAGAATGTTTGTTTCTTGAGCTGCAGGGAGGAGGAATGACACAGGGGCATCAGAGATGAACATCACAGCACCAGAAAGGGAGAAGTGGCCGTTAGCAGCCTCCTCTTAAAGGGCAAAACAGAAAAACCAAAATGTGAGAACTGAAAGATGTCATCATATACCACTAATAAGTGACCTTCAAAATGGCAGTTCTTAGATATCAGTGAAGTTACAATGATGTCCCATCTTTCTGTTTAAGAAAATGGGGAAATAGGTATAACGTTTTGGGAAGTTTTTCATATATATATTCAAACGTTTTAAGAGTTTTATTTTTCAGAACTTCTTTTATGAAGAAAATTCTTGTACATTAAATTCTTCATTCTCTGACATATGACATGCCATAGATTCCTTTGGACCATTAAATTAGTTCCACTGTTTATTGCCTTCTGCTGAGTTGCACATGTTTCAGACTCAACTGTCTCACTCAGGTTCCCGAGACCTCCAAGCTTGCACACACTTCTAGCTGAGAAATATTCCCAAGCTCCTACTAACTGGATCCCCCAACAGCTGATGACCTCTGGGCTTGATATAGACTAATATCTAAAATACATTGTTTTGTGAAAAGATCAAGGTCTTTTGTATATAGAATGTGGGTATAGAATGCTACCATTTAGTTATGATATTTACTTGTATTCTTGTACATGTCTGGAATATCTCTGCAAGGATACACAAACTCCTGGTGAGAATGGCTGCCTCCATCTGGTGGGCAACTAGAGGATTAGGGATCAAAGATCAGAGGGACTCATATTTTTCACCACATATCATTTTATACTCTATATCTTTTATAATTTTTTTACTACTGTGCAATATTTTTATTTTTAAAAGATAATTTAGGTATATGATATTTAGAAACCTCATGTCTCTCTTTGATGTTTTACCACTTTTACACTGCTTAGAAAACTACAACTGTCTTAATTTCCAATGTAGCATGCTTATTTCAGAATTAATAGTTATATTTCCAGTGTCTCTTCATGAAAAAGAATGTGTATCTTCTCAGTAACCAACACTCAATACAGTTATTGAATATAAACCCAGAGCTTATAATGGAAGATGAGCTTATAAGAAATAAGAAAATGGGTATATTAAGAACATAGCAATGAATTTAAAATCAGAAGGAATTCCTTGCTTCTCCTGTGAATTATCTTTTTGTTAAACTTTTTGCTGTTAGCAAGGAGGCTCAGAGAGTTTTCCATGGGCTTAGGCAAGTGATGGGAAGCAGTCATGAGAGGCACAGCTTCTCTATTTGGCTGAAGAACATCGCAAGGTGGCTGTGAAGAACGTGGGTGGAGAGGATGCTGGTGGTCTCCATGACTTACTTCATTGTAAAATGGGCTGTTGGTTCCTTCCTTCACTGTACTTTGCTTCTTCTCGTCCCCGATCTCAATGATCACAACTGGATCAATGTTCTCACCCATGAGCTGGCGGGCCTCAGTGATGGTTATGGAAATCTACAAAACAAAGCAGTGTGTATGCACTCTGACAGGGCTATTCATTCATAAAGAATCACTGGGGGAGGCTGGGCAGAAGGAATCAATCACTTACCTGATAATTTTGGGATCTGACCTCCCCTTCATGGATCTTAGTCAATAGTTTTGATCTATTCAAAGAAAGTTTAACATATTTGTTTCATTAAGTAAGAACGTTCTTTAGACACATAAGCCATGATAATATTTTCCCAGGTATTTCTAAGGGCTTTTATTTTTATCATATCACATATTCTCTCTCCATCTCAGGAGGAGATAAGTATAAACAGACAAGTGACTTAATCTCTCCATGAGGTTATTGATATAATTAATTATATAATACATGTGAAAGTTTAACCTAGTCCCTACATGGCAAGAATAAATGTCAGCTCTTACTGTATGATTACCAGTATCATGTATTTTTTATTTTACAGAATAAGAAACTGAGATGCCATAACAAGTTGGTGGCAGAGCTGGGTCTAAATAAGGATCTCCCTTACATCTTGGCTGATCCTACCCACAGCAACACCTTGCCATTTCTGGTAGATGTAACAATTCTGAGTTTTTTTATTGCTTTTGAAGGAACTGGTAAAAGAAAAAATTGGAAGAAGCAGCCAAGATGCCATCTCAGTGAAATTTCACATTGCAGGGGATTTCACTTATCTGGACTGTCACAAGTAACTGAAAACACATGTGCAATACCTGGGCCTTTAGACATTGAATAACAATGGAAAGAGATGAAGAGTCCCTGTTGTCACAGAAGCAGCAATGGGTGGAAAATGAACTGAGCTTGAGTTCCTATTGTTTATTCTCTTGCCTTCTAATAATACCATTTTACATTTTATTTCATTCCATTTTTGCTGATTATAATTGAGTTGAGTAGAGAGCAAATTAGCAAAAACCTCAAGGCTTTGGAGTCAGACTGAACTGATTCGAATATTTGTTTACCCCAATTTCGTGCCACTGGCCTTAGTTTCTTCATCTGCAAATGAAAATCATTCCTACCACAAGCGGTGGCTCGGAGGATTAAAGGAGATAATGCATGTAGGAGAGGGAGCTAGCAATCTCTCCAAGGAAGAGAGAACCAAAGCATATAAAGAAAGAACTATTAAGTGTAAGACTTGTCATAGAAAAAAAAAACGCAAGAAAAGTTCAGAGAAGAGAAACTTCTGAGAGCCAGGGTGAGCAAAGCCTACACTGCAGAGGTCAGACAGAACTGAGCATAACACGGGGGATGGGATTTCAACTGATGGGGATGCACTGACCCAGAGAAAGACAAAGCCTCCCAGCCTCATTTCTCTTTCTTTTGCCTTCCTCCATTCAGTGCTGTTATCCTGGTGAAATAAATGGCAAGGGATCCCTTCAAGGATATTAAAAAACAATTAAAATTCTGATTTGGGGACTCAGAAGGGGGTTGTCACAGTGCAGTGAAGGGAGAGATATTGCAGTGAGTTTATGCATACACAGTTCATGTCTTCTTTTAAGGGTCAACCTCTGAGCTAGCATCCTGATTTCCATCTGTCTCCCACCACATGTCACTCCTTACACACATGCCCTGGGTGCCATCCTGTCACAGCCCAGTAATAACGACTCAGGATCTGCCTTCTGGGAAGCACTCATTTGTTTTATTGGTAGCAACCATTCTAAGTGGGAAAAAAAGGGATGAGCATAAGGAGTTACCATGACTAAGAAATCAACATAAACAAGCAGGGCAGACTGAAAGCACTGAAAGTCCTGATTATCAGCTTCCCTGGATCCGTGCTCTTTGCCCTGTAGCTTGTAGTCTCCTTTCTCTGTGATGTGGACTGGACTGGTAACTTGCATCGGCCAACAGAATGAAGGACAAATGGCTTTTGCCAATTCCAAGCCAGGGCTCAAGAGACCTTGTGCACTTTGACTCTTTCTCTTGGAACTCTGCCATCAGCACCACTGGAACAAGCCCACTGGAGGAGTTGAACTATACGGAGGAGACCCAGGGGCTCCAGCTGAAGCAGTCCTAGACCAGCCTACCACCAGCCAACCCTAAACTGAAATCAGCAGAGCGACCAAGTGACCAGACATGTGAGTGATCAGTAAAGCTGTCCACCTAACTCAGAGACTCATGAGCAATAACAAATGCTTACATTAAGACATGGAATTTGGGGATTATTTGTTACACATCAGTAGCTAACAAATACAGTGAATCCATTGCAGAAGTCCAGTTTGTTCTGACTTTTTTGGGTCATGTAAGTACCACCTTCTCACTTGGGACAAACAAAACTAAGACATTTAGCATCTTGATGAATTAAAGAGCAGGTGAGAGACAGCTGCTGAATCTGTCTCCTGTTACTGCCTTACTTCCTAAACTATGAGGGATATGAAGACCTTAACTCAGGTGACTTAACAGTAGAGGCTGGCGGAACCGGGACCCTGGCCTGCTGAAGGCTGACTGATATCTAGAGGCTGGCACTGCCGTGGAGAAAGCTGAGAGAACACAGAACTGTCTTCCTGCCATAGACCTTTGGCTGCTTGTAGACAGACTGGGCATTATTCTGTGTTCTCTCAGAGCCTGCAGAGGCACCTGGCACATGGGAGGTGCTCAGGAAATGTGTGCTGACTGCCTGCATCAACACTATACCTTCTCTTTGGAGGAGCCAAGGAAACAGAAGTGATAGATGCATCATCATAAATGAAATCTTCTCCCCATCCTTCCTGGTGAGAAGAGCCTTCCTGTGGTGCTTCTGCTTCACCTTGGCCATCTAGAGAAACAGACAAAAGAAGAAAACTCTGTTAAATGTGACGGAAACAGAGGTGATCTGAGCCTCGATTCTGTGTCCAGGACTAGCTTCCTCGGATCCATGCTCTTCGCAGGACAGTGCTGTTTGCTTTCCAGGAGGGGCCTGACTCCTCTCCACCCTGTTTGTTCTGTGGGCTGAAGGCTCTGATCAGAATGAGCCATGGGGGCCAGCTCCTCTGAAATGCCTGGGTTGACTGCCCCAAACCTCCACTGGCTTGTTCTTCCCCCTATGCAGGGAGGGCTTCTAACTGGAGGCAAATCCATAGTATAGGAAGCCCAGGCTCTGGTATAAGACTGATCTAGGCTCAGGAGCCACCTTCTCCACTTACTAGCTGCCTGACTTTGGGCAAACACTCACCCTCTCATGGACCTCTGTTGTAAAACATGGCCAAAGGAGTCTACATTTCAGAGTCAAGAATGATGTACATCAAGCAGGGGCTTATTAAATGTATCATAAGTATTATTTTTCATAAGGCTGTTGAAGGAAGGGAACTTACTCAATCTGTGTCCCCAGGCCCTGCTACAAGGTCATAATCTCAAAGACACCAGGACAGATTTCAGTGCTTTTTCTACTCACTCCCTCACACCTTCAATTTGACTGAATGCAAGTACTTCTATTAAGCTTTAAGCCTTGTCCCCACTTAGAACATAATGCCACTCCTGTCCCACCCAAGACAATTATTGTTGCCAGCACCTTAATATGAATGAATTTCCATAGTTTTCTATTGTAAGATTGGGTTTTACCTGAGAGGAAGGGGTAGAGGTGGGGGGCAGCAGGCATAAGGCCACAGGACCCCTTCAACAGACAGACGGCAGCATAGGGTAAAGGAGCCCCTCCCCACACGCCAGGGAGATGGGAAAGGTTAAGATAAAGCAGACTCACTGCACCATTTTGGTGTAGAATGGTCCAGAAAGCCAGCTTTGAACTGGCTGCTGTCAGGGACCCCAGCAGAAGTCTCCAGATCACCCCAGAGCTGTCCACTGGAAGCAGCTGATCCCATTTGATTCAACAGACATGAGTATCTACCTGATAGTGGGCGTAGCCTCCGCTGGCTTGTTCACACTGTGCCTCAGGACTTTGCTCTTTTGGAGAAGGAAACAGCCCATTCTAAGGGCAGAAAGTCAGACAGCCTAGATTTACATCCAATACCACTGCTTCCTGGCTCTGGCCTCCCACTCATAGGGCCACCTTCACACATCTGTGCAGCCACCACGGAGCACCCTGTGACCCGGAGGACCTCATGGCACTTGGCTTAATGCTCTGCTGGTGCCATTCAGAAGTTCTTAATAATTTCTTAACAAGGACCTCACACTTCTGTTTTTCCTGAGCCCTGCAGATTCTGCAGCTGGCCCTCTGCACACTTTACATCCTCTCTCTGCATCTCTGCAACCTCGTTTGTAAAATTGAGACAGTGGCATCTATTGGTAAGATGACAGAGGTCACGTGAAACAGTGTATGTAAAGCCTCCCATGGCAGCTGCTATCCTCACTCTTATTTTCAAAAATCTCACTTGATCCTCCCCATGGCCATGCGAGGTCAGCCCATCAGCCTGTGACATGCCCACTTGGCAGAGGGGGCCACTGAGAACCAGAGCTGCCGAGCTACTTGTCCTGGGCCACAGAGCAAATCAGAACAGAAACAGAAGCTTGAACCCTGTCACTGCCTCATGCAGTGAGTTTATGCATACACAGTTCATGTCTTCTTTTAAGGGTCAACCTCTGAGCTAGCATCCTGATTTCCATCTGTCTCCCACCACATGTCACTCCTTACACACATGCCCTGGGTGCCATCCTGTCACAGCCCAGTAATAACGACTCAGGATCTGCCTTCTGGGAAGCACTCATTTGTTTTATTGGTAGCAACCATTCTAAGTGGGAAAAAAAGGGATGAGCATAAGGAGTTACCATGACTAAGAAATCAACATAAACAAGCAGGGCAGACTGAAAGCACTGAAAGTCCTGATTATCAGCTTCCCTGGATCCGTGCTCTTTGCCCTGTAGCTTGTAGTCTCCTTTCTCTGTGATGTGGACTGGACTGGTAACTTGCATCGGCCAACAGAATGAAGGACAAATGGCTTTTGCCAATTCCAAGCCAGGGCTCAAGAGACCTTGTGCACTTTGACTCTTTCTCTTGGAACTCTGCCATCAGCACCACTGGAACAAGCCCACTGGAGGAGTTGAACTATACGGAGGAGACCCAGGGGCTCCAGCTGAAGCAGTCCTAGACCAGCCTACCACCAGCCAACCCTAAACTGAAATCAGCAGAGCGACCAAGTGACCAGACATGTGAGTGATCAGTAAAGCTGTCCACCTAACTCAGAGACTCATGAGCAATAACAAATGCTTACATTAAGACATGGAATTTGGGGATTATTTGTTACACATCAGTAGCTAACAAATACAGTGAATCCATTGCAGAAGTCCAGTTTGTTCTGACTTTTTTGGGTCATGTAAGTACCACCTTCTCACTTGGGACAAACAAAACTAAGACATTTAGCATCTTGATGAATTAAAGAGCAGGTGAGAGACAGCTGCTGAATCTGTCTCCTGTTACTGCCTTACTTCCTAAACTATGAGGGATATGAAGACCTTAACTCAGGTGACTTAACAGTAGAGGCTGGCGGAACCGGGACCCTGGCCTGCTGAAGGCTGACTGATATCTAGAGGCTGGCACTGCCGTGGAGAAAGCTGAGAGAACACAGAACTGTCTTCCTGCCATAGACCTTTGGCTGCTTGTAGACAGACTGGGCATTATTCTGTGTTCTCTCAGAGCCTGCAGAGGCACCTGGCACATGGGAGGTGCTCAGGAAATGTGTGCTGACTGCCTGCATCAACACTATACCTTCTCTTTGGAGGAGCCAAGGAAACAGAAGTGATAGATGCATCATCATAAATGAAATCTTCTCCCCATCCTTCCTGGTGAGAAGAGCCTTCCTGTGGTGCTTCTGCTTCACCTTGGCCATCTAGAGAAACAGACAAAAGAAGAAAACTCTGTTAAATGTGACGGAAACAGAGGTGATCTGAGCCTCGATTCTGTGTCCAGGACTAGCTTCCTCGGATCCATGCTCTTCGCAGGACAGTGCTGTTTGCTTTCCAGGAGGGGCCTGACTCCTCTCCACCCTGTTTGTTCTGTGGGCTGAAGGCTCTGATCAGAATGAGCCATGGGGGCCAGCTCCTCTGAAATGCCTGGGTTGACTGCCCCAAACCTCCACTGGCTTGTTCTTCCCCCTATGCAGGGAGGGCTTCTAACTGGAGGCAAATCCATAGTATAGGAAGCCCAGGCTCTGGTATAAGACTGATCTAGGCTCAGGAGCCACCTTCTCCACTTACTAGCTGCCTGACTTTGGGCAAACACTCACCCTCTCATGGACCTCTGTTGTAAAACATGGCCAAAGGAGTCTACATTTCAGAGTCAAGAATGATGTACATCAAGCAGGGGCTTATTAAATGTATCATAAGTATTATTTTTCATAAGGCTGTTGAAGGAAGGGAACTTACTCAATCTGTGTCCCCAGGCCCTGCTACAAGGTCATAATCTCAAAGACACCAGGACAGATTTCAGTGCTTTTTCTACTCACTCCCTCACACCTTCAATTTGACTGAATGCAAGTACTTCTATTAAGCTTTAAGCCTTGTCCCCACTTAGAACATAATGCCACTCCTGTCCCACCCAAGACAATTATTGTTGCCAGCACCTTAATATGAATGAATTTCCATAGTTTTCTATTGTAAGATTGGGTTTTACCTGAGAGGAAGGGGTAGAGGTGGGGGGCAGCAGGCATAAGGCCACAGGACCCCTTCAACAGACAGACGGCAGCATAGGGTAAAGGAGCCCCTCCCCACACGCCAGGGAGATGGGAAAGGTTAAGATAAAGCAGACTCACTGCACCATTTTGGTGTAGAATGGTCCAGAAAGCCAGCTTTGAACTGGCTGCTGTCAGGGACCCCAGCAGAAGTCTCCAGATCACCCCAGAGCTGTCCACTGGAAGCAGCTGATCCCATTTGATTCAACAGACATGAGTATCTACCTGATAGTGGGCGTAGCCTCCGCTGGCTTGTTCACACTGTGCCTCAGGACTTTGCTCTTTTGGAGAAGGAAACAGCCCATTCTAAGGGCAGAAAGTCAGACAGCCTAGATTTACATCCAATACCACTGCTTCCTGGCTCTGGCCTCCCACTCATAGGGCCACCTTCACACATCTGTGCAGCCACCACGGAGCACCCTGTGACCCGGAGGACCTCATGGCACTTGGCTTAATGCTCTGCTGGTGCCATTCAGAAGTTCTTAATAATTTCTTAACAAGGACCTCACACTTCTGTTTTTCCTGAGCCCTGCAGATTCTGCAGCTGGCCCTCTGCACACTTTACATCCTCTCTCTGCATCTCTGCAACCTCGTTTGTAAAATTGAGACAGTGGCATCTATTGGTAAGATGACAGAGGTCACGTGAAACAGTGTATGTAAAGCCTCCCATGGCAGCTGCTATCCTCACTCTTATTTTCAAAAATCTCCCTTGATCCTCCCCATGGCCATGCGAGGTCAGCCCATCAGCCTGTGACATGCCCACTTGGCAGAGGGGGCCACTGAGAACCAGAGCTGCCGAGCTACTTGTCCTGGGCCACAGAGCAAATCAGAACAGAAACAGAAGCTTGAACCCTGTCACTGCCTCCTCATGGGGTCTGCTTCCACGGCCCAGCAGGTGTCCACCCCACCCATCTGGCCCAATGACCAGACAGCCAGCCGCCATGGGGCAGTTTGCCCTGGCCCGCACCTGCGACACGTGGGGTGTGAAGATCCGGCAGGCAGCACATCTGCCCTCACTCCCCAGGAGAGCAGACCTGCTCTCAGCCAAAGCGGGGTCAACTCTGAGGCAGGCAGGCCCCAGGGTAGGACCCCCCTGCCCAGCCCCCAAACCCTCACCTTGGGCACCCTTGTTGGCTAGGATTAGCCCCTTCTCTGCTTTCTTCTTCTTCTTCTTCAGCTTCAGCCCAAACATCCCCTTTCTGAAAAGAAGAAGAAAAGCTAGACTACACAGTAATAGTAACTTTGAGCCATTCAGACATGTTAGGAGAAAATGCATGAGCACGCTCCTGTGTGCACGTGTGCACACATGCGCGTGCACACACACACACACACACACACACAGTGAGTTCTGAAAGCCAACCAGTCTCCTCATCACCACAGGATGCCCCAGTGAGCCCCCAGACATCTCTCCTTCTGCAAAAACCATGACAACAACTCCTATACTGAAATCCTGAGATCCACCCAGACCTGATAAGTGAGGCCTGATACAAATACTACCAGCACTGGCTGAGATTTCTCCATTTCTCCTCACTCACTCACACATCAAGCAGTCAAAACAAATGGCATCATTTAATTACCAGCAACCTTCTCCTATCGATCCTACAGATGAAGTGCCAAGGCCCAGAGAGGGAGGCAGTGTTTCCAAGGTCACACAGCTCTGAGCATCCGAGCTACTTACCACTGGAACCTGGGTCTGCTCGATTTCAGAGCCAGGCTCTACCCCCTGGGCAACCGCAGCCTGCCAGTTCCCCTGAGAGAGTGAACACCCTCTCCACAGCCAGGCTCCTAGACTGTTTCCAAGATCCAGAGGCCGTGGGACTCAGTGAGGTCACACCACAAGGACACAGCTCAGCTTGCCACATGGTGCGCGCCCAGAATATCAGCTCCTATTATTATTGCTACTATTAACCGTGACTGGGAAACCATTTGGGGGCCTCCTTCTCATCCCAGGAAAGGGCTGGGATGAGACCAACGCTGCATCCCCTTCTCCTGCAAACCCCTTCCTGGAGTTGAGGACTGCAGAGGCCCTGGTGCTGGATGGCAGGACGGGTGGTCGGAGCTCAGAGGAAAGTCCTGGCGTTGAGTCGGGCAGGCTGCCATGGCAGTCCTTGGGCGAGGTGAGAGGAAGCCAAGGAAGGGCTAGAGAAGCAGGAGGAGAGAGCAGCAGACTCAGGCCCTTTCTGTGAGCGGGCTGCAGTCCTGGGGCAATGCAAGGAAAGTGATGGGACCAGCTGAGGTTTCTGTTTGCTCTGTGGTTGGGACTTACAAGGGCTTCGAGCGCAGTGGCTAAGATCACAGGTTCTACAGTCGGACTGCCTGGGCTCTCACCCCAGCACTGCCTCTGCTGCCTTGGACAGGTCACATAACCTCTCTGAATTTCAGGGTCCTCATGAGTAAAATGCAACAGCAAGTACCCAAAACACACTGGTTGTTGAATAAATGCTAGTTAATCTTGTTATTACTGTAAAGGATAAGCTCAGAGTGAGTGAATAGAAGCTACTAGGAGACACATGTCTACTTCATTCATGTATTTATTTACTTGTTTACTTATTCTTTTTAGGCCCTGCCTTGATCCAGATAAGGCAGTGGAGCCCTCCACTTTGGCTGCTATCTAAACAATGGAATGGACTGCACTGGGTGGGAGTGAGTTCCCTGTTCTAGAGGTGTGCAGGCAGAGGCCTAAAGACCACTGGCAAAGGATGTTGTAGAAAGGACGAACATCACAAGGGGGCACTGGCCTAGGGGTCCTTGGCGTTCCTTTGAGGCCCTAAGATACAGTAGAATGGGCTCCAGAACCACCCAGACATGGATGGATTGGGCAAGTCACAGTACTTCTCTGAGCCTCAGTTTCCCCATGGGTACAATGGGGATAGATAATAAGGTACTTACTTTACAGCACTATTGAAAGACTATAATGACATAAAGTAAGCAAAGCTCCCAGGACAGTGCCTGATATACAGAAAGTGCTAAAAATGTACCTTCACAGAGGTAGCAATACCCCCTTCGGTTTGCCATCATCTGTGATGAGAACAGCGTCCAAGACTCCCAGGAATCTTGGGAGAACATGCATGAGTGGGAGTCCTCTTTGCTGAAATTCCTTAAAGGAAACTTCCCATGACAGTTCTTGCTTTCTTGTTTCACAGGGGGTTTGAAAACAAGCAGAGGGCCCAAGGCCAGGACCCTCCAAACCCTGAATTGCCACTGTGGGCCCCAAGGTCTGACTGCCATGCTCATTTCACAGCAGCACAATCTGATGTTCCTGGGAACTCAGCCAATAGGCTCTGCAGACGATTTGGAACGGCTGAGTTACTTGCATCCAATTGGGAAGCAGCTACTAACAAGAGCAGTATCTGCCAGAAGGAGATTTAGCCATTCCTTTAGGAAGCTGATGTCCTCAGCACCGATGGCCTAGGCATCCTAAATCTCCCACAGGACAGCCGGGACTGAGGCCCTGAAGCGTGCCTGAAGGGGCTGTCGTGGGCACAGGACGAGAGAGAGGCATCCTGCCTCTTCAAGACAGGCACCTCTGTCCCTCTACAGCCAAGAGCTCTGGGGCCTCCTGTCCATCAGAGACACTCAAAGAAGTCTAAAAAGCACCCGTGCCTGGAACCACTTTCAGAGACTCTATCACTGCTTTTGAGAAGAGCCAGTACTGGGAAGCCCTGGTCTAGGCACAGCTCAGAACCCCTAGAAAGCCAGGGAAACCTCTCAGGAATGACCAAAGGAATTACAGCAGCTCAGCTGTCTTGGGTGGGTTGATGCCTGTTTCACAAACTAACAAGGTTGTTTGCCTGGAACCTGGAACCCTGAGTCAGTCATCAGGGGCACTGCCAGCAGGCCTCCCAGCATGGAAAGGCTTCTTGCTGAGAACTGCTTGCTCGCCCTTAGCCCCGTGACATCCAGAGCAGAAAGAAGGCATGGCTCACCAGCCGGGAACAGCTGTGCCACTGGCAGATGGAGCAGCAGAACGGGCCGCACGGGCTGCAGCTCCGGAGCCGGCTCAAATCCACTCTCTAGCTATAGAACTTAGGGCCAGATACTTAGCCCAGCTGAGCATGAAATTCACATGGTACAGAGTGTTTCTTACCCACTCCACACGTGATGTTAAAATAGGAAAACATGCTTGTAAAGGTAAAACATGCTACAAATCACTGTATTACAACGCTGGTGGCCAGGAAAAGTGCTACAATATTTCCCTGAGTTTAAAATTTGTTAAACATGTATTGACACTCACTATATGCAGGAACACCACTTTACATACATTATTGCCTAGGATCCCTGCAACATACCACAAGGCAGAGGCTTCTAGCCATTTTTACAAATGAGGTTGTCGGGGTTTCCGCCAATATACTGGGATCAGCCAGTGAATCAGGAAGACTCACCTGGTAAGTCTACAGGGCAGTTCTATCGCACCCCCTCTCCCGCTGGCCAAGGATTTTAGCATGAGAACCCTCCCATGTCACAGAAAGTATGGGGCTTTCTGGTGCAGGAGCTGCAGAATCTCCTCCCACAGCCACCCCAAGATAAGTCAACACACACAGAAACCCCCACACCAACCTGGTCTCCTCAGGGTGGAAGCTACCGTGACTCCGATACCTGTATCCAAACAGTAAGAGTGTCACACAGCACATGGGTTAGACTGGCTTCAGCACATCTATCCAAAGTGGCACCGGTCATCCTCCTTGGCTGTCTTTTGGCAGAATGACTGGAGCATGGTGCCACAGGCTGACACTCCCCTCCCGGGTAGGGTTAAGGCCCGAGGTTCCCTCTCCCAGGCGGTTTTCCGTCCCACAGAACATCTGTGCTCCCCTTCCTGCCCCTTGTCACGTGGAAATCAGTCACCAAGGCAGGGCTTTCCCTCCCTGCAGCTGGGTGGGTGAGCCCAGCCGACCCCACGGTAAAGGATCTGAAAACCAGTCGGGCCTCTGATCCACACACCTTCCTTCAGCCTAGCTTTACTGGCAATAAAGGTGATATATACTGATTCCTGTTCAGTGTGTAGGTCTATTTCTCAATGGGTTTCAAACAAAACAGGAAAAGAGAAAGTGTAGCTATATCCTTAGGAAAACCATACATTGACATAAAAAGACTGTTACAAGTGAAAATCATTAAACTCCATAGGGTAAAGAGAATTTATGAAATTCCTTCTGAACCTCATTCTTTGGTGTCATGGACATGCAGGACAGGAGGATGGGCACTGTGCTAAATAACCACCTTTGCTGTAGGATTCTCAGAGCTTTTAATATGATATTCATTTTGACTTTCCAAGAGGGTCACACAGTATTCAGATTTTTCTAAATGAATTTGCTCATACCATTTTCACAAAATATCTAATAATATCTTAATGAACCCTATTTGGGAGACCCCAGAGAAAGAGAACACTGGCAACTTTTAGTGTTCTTTTCTCTTTTGAAACTTTTATGAAGTGAGCAGTGATCAAGTAAGAGCCACTGAGGAAACAGAGAACCCAGGACACCTGTGTCATGCGGGGCCTCCTCTGCACCCACACTGTTTCTGTTCCAGTACTGGTCTGCCTGCTTCCATTCTCTCTCCTTTCTGCAACTATTCTCCACTCTGCAGCCATCTTTACAAACTAGAAGAGCAGAAGTTCCTTAATATGATAAAGAATACCTACAAAAGCCCTAGAGTTCATATCAATTCCATAGTAAATACTGAAAGATTTCCCCCTAAGATTTAAAAAACAAAAATGAGACAAAGATGTTCACTAACACCTCTTCTATTCAACACTGTACTGGAGACCCTTAACTAGTTTAAAAAATTTTGACTCTTTGAATTAATAACTGAATTTAGCAGGGCAACAAGTGACCTTCTTAAGCAGAAATAAGGTCAATACACAAAAATCAAGGGTACCTCTCTGTACCAAAAACAAAGAATTATAAACTAAAATTATAAATAAAACATAATAGCATCAAAAACTTAAAAACTAGGAGTCATTCTAGGAAACTGACCTCTACACTGGAAATTACAAAATATAATTAAAGGACATTCAATGTTCATGGATTGGAAAATGCAATATCGGAAAGATGTCAAATTTTCCAGCTTGATTTGGAGATTATTTATTATATCCACTTTGTGAAAATGTCCATATATGATTTATATGTGTTTTTCTATGTGTATGTCATGCTTCAGCAAAGTGTCTAATTTTTACAAAGCATAGGTTTTGGGATCTAAGGTCC